AGCACAGTGATTGGAAATGTGTGACGGTTCATTTTCACTTTGTGCAAGCTTTCATGTCCTGCTGTGTGTATGTTAACCACACTCATCCTGTATAAGCCACTCGCCTGGGAACCGATCAACTCTACCTCACCCCTCCACCACCGCCCCACGTCTCTCTCTCTCTTCCTCTCCACCGCTCTGTGTCTCACTCTATGCACTGCGAGGTGAAAAAGTCACATTTCATCCACTACTCTGAGCTTTCACCAAATTCTTCAAAAACAGATCAGAAAGGGGGTGGCGCCTGTTTGTTTCAGTGACCTGAATTAGGCAAAAAAGGTGAAAGTATTGTTCAAACACGCTGTAAGTGTGTCTCTCCCCATGAGCTGTGAAGATAATACCGTCAAATTAGTTAAGGAGGGCGTTTATTTTAGTAAAAGAAGGCAGGATGAGAGGCCTGAAGTATTAGTTACGATGCTAACTCACATCTTTTCCTCGGTTTCATTCTCTGAATTGGTCTGAGGTCAGAGCTGTGTGCTGAAGCTCCGATTTTCCCTTGATCCATTATTCATTTTTCCCCAGCGGAGATCTGCCTCCATGGCAAAACAGGCTTCCGAAGCTCCACCAGCATCCCGCTTCACTTTTCTGACAGCGCATGCATATGACTCACGCTCAGTGAAACAAAGATGCAGCTAACTAAATGCACATTTCACATTCCTCACATGCAGCATCAGACGGTTTTGCACACGATGACATAACAACCATGGAGCTCTGATAGCAACAAATTAGTTTAAAGCAGCAGCAGCAGAGCGGTCCAGAAGAGCAGCAGTATTTCACGCCTACTGGGGCCAACATAAGCTCATTATGGAGCAACCATGACAAGCACATATATGGAAATCAAGGACTTTTGCCTAAATGCGCAAAGGAGAACATGAGTTGAACTCTTCAGTCTGAATATTCACTGATAAATGCGTGAAAAAGAGCTGCGAAGAAAGTAGGGAATTAGAGAAAGTAAACATAAAGCAATGGTTTGGGTTTGAAAGAGGAAGGAAAACTAAATCTGAAAATTAAAGGAGGTTTTTTGGAAACACAATTACCCTGGTGGGATTGCTCCTCGCGTGGTTCCCATGGAGATGCGCTGAGTGCCTGGACGGTTCAGGTTGTTCTGTCTGTTGATTGTGAGAGTATGGTGACCATGGGAGGATGAGAGGGACGGCATCACAGGGGAACTGTGGAAGTTGGCAGAGGACAGCGGCGACTTCACCTGTTCAGCTTTAGATTGCCCGCCTCCCACACTGATGTTATTGTTGTTGGTGCCGGAGGAGTCGGACGTTGGAGACCACAGAGACGTCCCAGCAAAAGTGTTGCTCTGCCGTACTGTGGTGTGTGTTCCTGTCCCGCCCGAGTTGCCAGCTGTCCCTGTGTGGAGCTTACGCCGCTGAGACGCCAGGATGGCATTAGAAGCAGCTCTTGTGCTGTTGACCAGGATGCACTGCTGGCAGGAGCAGGGCTGACCGGAACTGGCGCCCACGGGCCACGACTGGGACTTGGGAATAGAGCCCATGATGAGCGGGTAAGCCAGGTCCATGCGCCTTCGCAGGCGCCGCTTCCGCTGGCTCTGCCTGTTGGTCTGAGACATGCTGTTGAAGTCGATGAGGTAGCAGAAGCCCAGAGAGATCAGGTCCAGCCACGGGTGCTGCTTCTCGTAGGCGTTCTGGATGGTCACACAGATCTCCATGTCATACGGTGTCCATGAGCCATTGTCATTCTCCCACTCCCACACCACACCTTTCCCCGGGGCAGAGGACGGCTCATAGAAGTTCCTCTGCACTGGTCTCATGGTGCCTGAATGGAACGACAAGAGAAGAACAGAAACCGTTAAAGCCGTTCTCATCTTCAGATCTAGATAGGCAGGCGGTCACATTTAAAGAGGAGTGTTTCTGTGGAAACGTCTCTTTAAGATCGCTGAGTGACTATGTAAATGATTACAAGAAGATGATTACAAGAAGAATAAAATGTGATTATTCTTTAGGGACTTTTAGCCTGAGGCAAAATATTCTTGCAACTTCAGGCGCATCTTGTAAACAAACAAGTGCTGACACGAAAACACAACCAGCTGATGGAAATGAGATGTACTGCTTCACCACCTGTCTGCAGGGATAACAAGCTGGTAAAATACATCATTCCCAAAAGCCTCCACTTCATAGAAAAGTGCAAACCCGCCCCGGCCATTCAGAAGCAGACATCATACCCATCATGCCTTACTTAGATAGTCTGCACTCTTTTCTATATGGCTACAGAAAGCAAGGGGGGGTTTGGGCTGAGAGCTTTGCACTTCGGTACCTCTACTGATGACAACTCAGCTCCCACCTCCATTATAACACAATTACTGTGGTCGCATGGGAAATCAGGACACCTCAGCCTATCCATCTCCACACTGCACGTCAGCAAGGGCATCCAGGCACTCCTGCAGAAAGCATCACCCCCCTCCCGCCTCCCCCCAGCTAATTTAACGGGTAAATGCATACCCCCATGCCAGGGAGAGCCGTGGTGATAATGGAGGAATGGGAGTGTGTACCCCTCATTTGGCAGCTTGGTGCCAACATCAGGGAATAAACTGCATCAGCAGAATCAGGAAGTGTGACCTTGATTGTGTCCTGCAGACTGCTGCTAAAGGACTCAGTTTTGACGGCTAATTTGAACTGGAGCTGCTAGGAAAAAAACACACACACACACACACACACACACACACACACACACACACACACACACACACACACACACACACACACACACACACACACACGACTATTCAGTGAGCCAGCTGCCCGTGTCTCACATTCTCACTCAGCTGGCCATGCATAACATTCTCTGCACAGTTGCATTGGTGCTTACACTTGCTGCCTTATTTTTTTCTGTAAGGAAAGCAATAAAAAGTGATACAGAATATCGTGCCGGCTGTGGAACAGGAAGTTCCAGTGATGAGGGATCAAACGGCTGCTCCCCACTGTGGCGTTAGAGGGAACACTTTCAGTCTGACTGTGTATTTCTGGCAACAATCAACAGCAAAGCAGGGTTTTTTTTCCACAGGTGCCATAAATATTTGAACATGTTGAAGATGTTTTATCCCCAAACATCAATTTATGTTCTCAGTTCCAGAGGAAATTTGTGCGGTTTCTCTCGTTGAAAGCAAGTTAGAAATGCTTGCAACGATCTCTCAGAAATATGAAAAATGGCCGTAAAAAGGAGAGCAATAAACCTCTCCTTCATTCGCTATAGTTCTGATGTTGTGATGGGGTCATGAGCTTTTGTCAGAGCAGCTCGCTTTGTTACCATAGAGACGAGTCCCTTTTCAAGCTCCACAGTGCCGTTCTGATAGAACAGGCTTTTGATTAAATCTATTGATTTCCAAATTCTCAATTCCATATTTATGGTTTATTAGAATGAGTCTATATGTCAGCTTGCTTTTGAAGCAAAATTTTCCTTATCTTCTGATAACGCCTCTTTATACAAGGACCAGTAAGCTGTAACTGTTAGGAAAATGGTAGCATGTGAGGCAGCTGCTCACTCTGTGTTTGAGTTGTGCCAAACAAGCTGCTAAGCAGGTATTAATTATACAAATTAAACTAAGGTGTTACAGGATGGGGATGACAAGCGAGAAAAAGATTCCAGGCAGCTTAGCAGCTTTTTAGATGCACAAAAAGGTTTGAAAAACAGAAAAGTGGGATTTTTTTATCAGTCTGTGTTAGAAATGCACTGGTTCTAGTTCTCAGGGTGGATGCAAACGTTTAATTCTAGACGTCTCTGTTCTGCCGATACAAACTTTGGCTGAGTCCAATTTATCTCATAGCACAATAATATAAAGAATCTATAAATATTTTAAAGGTTTGATTAGCTTTAAAGGGATATTCAACCCAAAATTAAAATTGTGTCTGTTAACATATTCCCTACAGTTAGATTAGAGGGGAAAAACATATTTTAACCAGTCCAGACATTCTTCTGATCCGGCTGTACTCCTTTAGCTTTAGCTGAGCATAAAACACAGTAAGTAAAGAAAGAAAGAAAGAAAACAATCTTTTATATAGCACTTCTCAAGATAAAAATCATGAGGCGTTTAACAACAAATAGGAAGGTAAATCCTCTGTGTGACTTGGGCGATTGCTGATGAATGGAGGACAAAAGAGTTTACTGATCATAGGAGATGGAAGCCGGGACACTACCGAAGAGGATCGCAGACAGAAGCAAGGCTAAACCCTAACCCTAACCAAGCAAAAGACGCCTGCTTATAAACACAAATGCACACGTTGTTGGCAAACCAGCATAAAACAGAACCACGCGCACCAGTTTTTATTTCATTTTTAAGGTTTGGATGCATGTGAACATTTAAACAGAATATTCTGAAATTGGTGTAAAGAATGCATAATTTAAATAACTAGTCATGAGGCATAAAACTTGAGCCCTGGGCCTAGAGCCTTGCTGGTATATTTTGTTACTATAAACACCAACAGCAAATAAATAACAGCAGCTTGATTTGTCTTTGTCTTAAATCATCATGAAAACATGGTTTTGAAAGTTGTGCATGCTCACACATTCAACAGCGAGCACCGCCCAGATGGTTTGTTATTTTGGAACTGAGCAGCAGCAAAAAAGACAGAATAACATTGTTAACTCAAATATATTATAATGCCAGGAATAAATAAATGCTTTACACATTCTTACCAGCCTGTAGTTCTACTGTTTTCTAAAAAAATGCACAAGATTGATGCTTTAAAATTTAAATGGGGCTGAGCCCCATCTTTAAATCTATATAGGATCCCCCTAGAGTTGTTTAATTCACCCTGACCTTTTAGTGCTGGTGCACCATAAGGGTATCTGACACTTAAGAAAAGACACGTTAAAGATACATGGTTTGGTGAAGTTGGGAGGGGGATGGGGGGTTTAGTTGCACACCTGACAGTTATTTATTTTTTTATTATTTTATTTGTTTCCCGTGTCCTGTCTGGCTGTGAAGCAAACAGAATTGATGTCTGAATGCTGGTGACAAGCCTTATAGATTTACTCTCACGTGGAGCATCAAAGCTTCTGCTTCAATGTCACGCCTGATACTTAAAACTTTATTGTTATTGTTTTTGAATGCTTTGTAATTCCAATCAGACACGGAGACAGAGGTGAAAGAGAAAGGAAGAGGCAACGGGGGGGGGGGGGGGGGGGGGGGGGGGGGTTCCACAAAAATAAACACTCGATGATGAACAAGAGTCTGCTTCTAGACCTGCAGAAAAGGGACACACCACAACCCAACAGGAGCAAGCTATCACTGCGTCAACCTGACGAGGAAATAAAAAATCAACATTGTTTTACTGAACAGTCACACGCTAATAAATCACAGTGCATTTAGTGCCAACCACAGCTTTAAGACATGTGTTGAACGTGCCCAAGTCCATACTTATGAGAGCACCTGTGTGTGTATGTGCTTGTATTTGTAAGGTTTCTCTATAGGAGCGTCCAATAGAAAAAGCGAAGGGCCACAGATCTGCCCCCCCAAAAATGTGTAGGAGAATGTGTAGGAGATGGAAAGAGCTCCAAGTCCCAGAGATCCTGGTGCTGCTCCAGAGGGCAGGGACCCCATGGAGACTGCAACCGGAAAAGCCCCTCACCCCTGACAGTTTTAATGATACTGAGATTTACATTATATGTAGTGTGTGCAAGGGGGTGGGCTGAGTAAGCATTGGCTTATTCCCACTCCCTCTGGGCAAAGACTTGTTTTCAAAAGTGTTGTCTTATGTTTAAATAATCAATCAATCAATCATCAATCAATCAATCAATAAAAAATTATGATTATCCCACATGAAAGACCTGTCAATTCTAGTGTGATATAGTATCATCAAAGGTGGGTTCAAGGACAAGGACATTTATAAGATTTATTTTTTCTGGTCTTTGCTCTTAAACAAGCATTCATGGTCTGAAGGAAAATAAAAACCTTTTTTTGTTTGTCAGACTAGCTGATCACTCTAAGTCTATGTTTTTTCATTTGATACATTTATATGTGTCTCTTTATTTCATGATCCTAGATGATGTTCATGTTTTAGCAAAAAGACAACTATCTCTCCTCAGAAACTTGCAAAAACATGTGGGGGAAATATAATGAAAACATTCAGATTTCAAACATCACCCAGCTAGTAAATGCTGTGATTACATACAACACACCCCATACCCTGAGGTTAGTATCCAGTGTTCTCCCATTGACCCCTTGCTCTTCCTAACAGGAAAGCGAGTGAGAGAATCCACTTCCTGTCTTACCCTCTGTGCATTTATCAGCCATCTTTCCTGCCTTCCCATCTCATTGCTTATTATCTCCCTCCCACAGTGTCCTCCAGCTGTCCTTTTCTTTCCCAATACCAACACTGAGTGAGCAATAGCTGAGTGATACATTGCCACAATCAAGCCTCGCTATGAGACTCTAACCCCACTGACACGTAGGACCAGGAGGGTTCAGGTTGGACTCAACTGGCCGCTCCCCGCTAGGGGAGCCGTGCCATTTCACATCCTAATAGCTGTTTTCGTCTGCTAGTGATTTACTCTTTGACAGACAGACCTTGACTGTCCTCAGAGCTCCACTGCAGAAGTAAGTCAACAGGCACGATGATACTTTGAAGCTACTTGAACTTTTATCAGAGATGTACAAGAAAAAGAAAACATATGGAATGGTCACAGGGTGTAATCAAACCTCAAAGCAGGACTCTAATGTATTTTTATACAGAAACAAAGATTATTACACACTTATCATCCACCCTCCAACCTTTTACACTGACTCTACATAACAATCAAACCGTAAAAGATGAGAAACT